CATTCCAACCCATGAGCCCTTTGTTATGTTTTCCTTCCCATCTCACTGGGAGTGTAGGGGACAGAGTGCAGAACCACATGGTCTTATCTGTGGATGAAAACCACCACACATACATATCTATCTACATAAAACTGGGCTAAACCTCCCCCAGCAGTACAATGCCTCTTTCTACAGCATGAATGACACTGGTACCTGCCACTGGGCTGGACAGCTTGAGATGTCCCTCAACCAATTCCATGCACTTCTCATCCATGAACTCATAGGCAGACAGGATCTCTCCCAGCATGGCTCTGCAGGTTGTAAATGTTTCCAAAATCTTGGAGAAACTCTGACATCCTTCAGACAGAACACAGAGAGGAATCAGGAACACAAAAGCAGCCCCCCAAAACCTTGTAAAAAGTTTTACAAAGTCTATCAGGCTTCAAGTCATCTTTCCTGTCTCTAGAAAATGTAAACTGATAGCCTTTGTGGGTTTAGATCAGCAGGTCCTGTAATGGTTTGAGCTGGGAAAGGTTTCAGAGCGGAACAGCAGCATGATGTAGCAATTAGTCTTTGCTGTGGCAAGGACCTCTTTAAGATAGTTCATGGCAAAATGTCTGCCCTACCCTCAGTTCTCAGCACAGGTAAGAAAGCAACCCAAGTTAAATTTAAAGGCCACTGTGAGAATCCAGGCAAATTCTGGGAACACTGCACATATTCCACAGATCTATCAGCACTTGGGAGTCTACTCATCCCCTCCTCGGAGTTTGGCCCTCTGCTCTCAAGGCCCCATCTGATATGAACAAGCTGTCTGAGATGACCCTACTGGCCTTGGAGGTTTTTTAAGAAAAAAAGCTCCAAAAACAGCCTCAGTGAAGGCCCCCACAAACAACTGTTAAAAAGCAGCTCTCAGAAGCAGCTTTTAAGCCATGTACCCTGCTGACCGAGACCCTGACCTGCAGACTTGATGTCCCAACCTTGCCTTGTCACTGTGGACTCACCTGGTGACTGCTGGATTGCAATTGCCTCTGCCTACTGTCACTAGACTTGCCCTGTTCACCTTGCTCAGGTACTGTCAAACCAGGCCCTCATCAATGAGGGCACTGTCATAGAATCATAGAATGGTCTGGGTTGGAAGGGACCTTAAAGCTCATCCAGTTCCAATCCCCCTGCCATCAGCAGGGACACCTTCCACTAGACCAGGTTGCCCAAGCCCCCACCCACCCGGCCCTTCAACACTCCCGGGGAGGAGCAGCCACAGCTTCTCTGGGCAACCTAGGCCAGTGTCTGACCACCCTCACAGTGAAGAATTTCTTCCTAATATCTAATCTAAACCTACCCTCTTTCAGCTTAAACCCATTTCCCCTTGTTTTGTCATTAACTGCCCTTATGAAAAGTCCTTCCCCAGCTTTCTTGTAGCAGCCTAATACCTAATACCTTCAGGTATTGGAAGGCCGCTATAAGATCTCCCCGGAGCCTTCTCTTCTCCAGGCTGAACAGCCCCAACTCTTTCAGCCTGTCCTCATAGGAGAGGCTGTCCTCATCCTGCTAAGCTCCTGGCTCCCCTTCCCTTGCAGACCAACCTGCCTTTGCAGCTATTTTACACATTTATACCACAGATATAAAATATGTGCACAGGTATTTTAACACACAGCACCATACTATTTCTCAGAAACAAGCTGATGCTGGTAGTCTAGCTCAGCAGGCTGAATAGTGTTTTCTTCCCTCCATTCTATTCCTTTTCCAGCCTCTGAATTCAGGTGTGAAATTATCAATATTAGCTCCTACCTAGGAATGCCAGATTCACAGCCCTAGGTTTCTGAGGACAGAGTATGGAGACAGCAGTGATAACTCCCAAGGTCCCCTCAGATCCAATGAAGAGCTGCTTCAAATCGTAGCCAGTGTTATCTTTGCGCAAAGAGGCCAAGCAGTCCAGAGCTGAGCCATCAGCCAGCACCTGTGGGAAAGCAGAGAGCCAGTCAAGGCGCTTTTGTAGAAATCTGCCGTCATAAGCTTGTCTACTACCGAGCTGATGAAAAGCTGCCACTAGCCTTCAGCAGCAGACACCAGTCTCATCACTGTTCCTCCATTCCCAGCTTTGCCTCCCCTCTATATCCCACCAGAGTCTTTCCCCAAACTTTTCCACTTCTTTTTTTACAGTACTGTTTGCACATGCTCCGGCAGGACAAGTAGTAAGAGAAGATCAAGTTTTCTCTGCTTTTATGAGCAGTGATGAAGACCAGACATTCTCTGCAGCTCTAGCTCCCATTATTCAACAGAAATAAATCACAGAACAGAATCATAGAAAAGACCCTTGAGATCATTGAGTCCAACTGTACCTAAAGGACACTATTTGAAGCAGTGAACACAATTAATCAGAATGAAGGCTGAATGTCTCTAAGACATGTATTGAAGGCTGTTTTGACACTAACCTGAGAGACAAAAGCTCTCCTTTCTGGGCCTACACAATAAAACCAAACCCGCCTTTTGTTACCTACCCAATTTATTTCCTATTTAGCTCTCTGCTCCCAAGCCCTGAAATCTTTTAGAACCACTAATCCCAGGCTTTACACACAGAGGTACAAGCCTGTAGGGCAGAAGCAGGCTGAGGAACAGCAAAGACTCCAGGAGAAAGCCAGCAGCCAAACAAACCCAAAGAGAATGGCTCTATTAGAAGTCAAGTGAGCAGCCACAAGGAGAGTGCTGTAGGATGGATTTAGCATAGTGTTCCAGAGACCCACCGCTCCACAGAGGAACCGATCTCATGCAGGTAACCTGGGATCACCAAATCTCTCCTTGCCTTCTTTTCACCTCTCTGGATTAGAAAACTACCTGATATCACTTCCATCAGCAACGACAGACGTGGAAGCTGGAAGCTGCAGTAGCAATAACAGATGCCACACACATGAAGACACTTGTTGACCGTTCTCAAAAGAGCCATGCAAGGAAAAGTTAAAGAGTGGAAGCCTGGAGAAGAACTTATCTGCATAATGGAGAGCTAAGGGCTGGAACAGCAGGAACAAAGTAAAGGTTCAAACACAGAAGGGAACTGCCAGGTACTCGCCTTACCACTTCCAGTCCTAGCACTGTCCCTCGGAGAGAGCCGTATCTCAAGAGCCGCAAGCCGCCGGCATTTGTGGCCACATTACCACCGATGTGACAGCTGCCTTTTGCTCCCAAGTCAAGCGGCATGATAAACCCCTGCTCCTCCAAGGACTCGTTGAGTTTCTCTAAGATGCAGCCAGCTTGGCACACAAGGATTCCTGAAACACAAATGTCCTGCTACAAGCTGATGCCCAAGAAAAAGGTGACTCCTAAAGAGGCAAGGTAAGTACAAGCAGATCACTGAATCACAGAATGTGGTGAGTTTGGAGAGACCCACCAGGATCATGGAGTCCAACTCCTGTCCCTGCACAGGACAACCCCAAGATTCAGACCATGTGTCTGAGGGCCTTGGCCAAATGCTTCTGCAATCTTGTCAGGCTTGGTGCCATGACCACCTCCCTGGGGAGCCTGTTCCAGTGCTCCACCACCCTCTGCCTGAAGAACCTTTTCCTCAGGGTCAACATCAACCTCTCCTGGCACATGCAACCACCTCTTTCTCCAAAACCTTCTGGGATTCAACTTAAACGTACAAGAAGTCCACGCATGCTACAGGGCATTGTCCCACCCCCCTTCAAACCAAGAGGAGCTTTGCCACTGTCTTAACATCTGGTCATCCACAACTCTGCACTGGTAATCCACAGTGGCATTAAGAATACCTCTGCCTGTTGTTCTCTCTCCCTCTCTGTTTTAAGAACTGAAATACTCAAACCAGCCTGGTTCCTTACACCCCAAATCCAAAGAACCTCTCCGTTTTCCCCACCCCTCCCTTCCCTCTGCTAGTCTTGTTACCACATGTCTTCTTCAACATGGTCATTCTGCTCCACTGCCTGGGTTTCTCATCCAGATTCATAAAGAATGTTTCTCTCCTCTCTTTCTTCCTCTTTCTGCCACCAGATGTATTTTTACATCTGCTACTGTTATAACCTATTACATCACCAGCAGGAGCCTGGATGAAACAAACCTCTGATCTCAGAATCCCAGAACTGCCTGGATTGGAAAAGTCCTTTAAGATCATCGAGTCCAATCATTAACCCAACACTGACAAGTCCCCAACTAACCCATGTCCCTCAGCACTATGTCTACACGACTCTTCAATCCCTCCAGGGATGGGGACTCCACCACTGCCCTGGGTAACCCCTTCCAATGCCTCTGAACCCTTTCTGCAAAGAAATTCTTCCTCACATCCAATCTCAACTGCCCCTGGCACAACTTGAGGCCATTTCCTCTTGTCCTGTCACTTGTTCCTTGGTTGAACAGACCGACGTTGAACAGACCATTGAACTGATGCCCTTTATGATGCTGCTGGGCTGAATCTTGCTGATCCTCCACTTATTGGCTCCCAGGAAAACAGCTGATTTAGGGCCAGGAGCTCGTTTCTGTGCCTCACATCTCTACGATATTTACCAGACACATTGTCAAAGCTGATGATCCGGTTCATGAGAACAGTGGAGAGAATGATCTCATCAAAGACAGGAACGCTGCCCCCAACAAGGCCTGTGTTACCCCCCTGCGGGTTCACTGCCAGGTTCCTCTCATAGCAGTACCTGGAAGGAAAAAGGATTCTGAAGAACTTCACCTCTGAGTGAATGTCCACTGTTGCAACAGTGCTCAGTGCTCCTTAAAATGAAGCATCGTTTAGCCTCAAGATTAAATTGATACAAAGGGACAGTTTCACTGCAAAAGTAAGAAAGCACAACTCAACTCACCCCACACTGAGCAAAGGAACGAACACGTGGGGTTACTCCTGCGTATATCTACAGATCGGCCACGCAACACCTGCCTGGAAATCACGGCTCGCTCTGTTTATACGTAAAGTATTTGTGTAGTGGTCTCTGTTATCAATTTGACTTCCACAGTGGGCTCTGACAGATGACCTCTGGCAGCAGGTTAAGATGCTACTGCCCTCCTCCTCCCCTCAAGAAATGAATGTCCTGTAGGCAAGGACGCATGTGCAGCTATGCCTTCACCTTCCAACCCGTCACATTCTCTCCAAACTCACCGAAGTTCTTGCACAAGGGATGGCACAAAGCTGCACTAAGTTACTGCCCAAGTGGAGCCATGCTCACAGCCCTGAACCAGGGAAGTGTCACAGAATCACAGAATGTCAGGGGTTGGA